TAACATGCTCGTTTCCTTTTAATTCTAATCCAGTAACATTTTACAAATAATAAACATTTTTAGTTTGAGTTTCTCAACCATTATAATCGGCTTTTTAATCCCGACGATAACCCAATGTATCTGCATCAACACGATTAAAATTCATTATCCCCAGTTTAAATCTCGCCGGCAAACGTCCACACCTCCCCTCCAGGCAAAACCTTTTTTAATATGTCTTTTGGAGTGGCCGACGCGAGCCCGGGTCCCGTCGTAAATAAATTTTCTATATATCTCGTGACTTTTCGCCGAACACAATTACTTATTATCAGGCAGTGGGGCCTCCTCCGCTCGCAGAACTAAGTGGCATTCACCCCCGCATTCCACGCAGCGAGGGCCGTAGAGAGTGTTTCATTGTAGCGAGCCGCAGGGGGTGCACGGGGCCCCGGCCAATAAAGTAGGACCATTTATCACTGTTAATAATTCTCTTCTGCACTGCTTTGATTTCTCGCATTTTACAACTTGTTATTGTGCCTCGTTAAATTCCGCCGAAGCGACGCGACATCGGATCAGGGGGGAGTAATAGATGTTCTTAATTACACATTTTATCGTTTTTTACGTTTAATGTACTATTATTTATTGCCCGTTGTAGTTTTCCCTGTACCTACACTTTCTCGTCAAAATTAATATTTTATAGGCAACCTTAAATAAGCCACTGTAAGAAAATCTACAAAATAATATAGTTATTTTTTGTATCCACTACTTCAATCTAACGGAGACCAATTTGTAAGCGGAAAAAAAATGCTTAACGTTTCAGGTGGGCTTTTCCCCTCGTTGGAAGCAAAAAAAACACAAAGAACAAAGAAAATACTATTTAAAATGTCTATATACAACTATTCAAGAGCAACTATTTTTTTCAACAGATACGTCTATTAAAAACCCATGACGTTAAAAAATACTGTTAAAACTACATTATATCCAAGTTAAATTTCAAAATTAATAATTATTCACTGATAACAATTATTACTTAATGAGATAGAACCAAAAAGCCTCAAATGTTCTGTGTATGATTATTTTTTATTTGTTTTTAATTTTTACTACATTTAACACTGTCCTTTTCATCACATTTGTATTTATAAACCAGTAAGTTGTCAGAAGAAAATGCTATGAAGTTTTTAATATTTATGAAAAATATGAGGTTTATATGGAACGAGTTACGAATTAATGTGTCTTTTTTTTTTTAATTTGGGTGCAAATTTTTCAAACAAAACAAAAAAATAATTTAAATTAAATTGGTTTGCATCCACCTTAATTATTTTTGTAATCTATAAGACTTTCTAACTATAGCTTAGGTATAAAATTATTAGATGCCATAAGTCGCTCTGCGGCTAATCCATTTTATGACCATATCTCCTCTTTTACGTCTTGGTATTTTGCGTAATAAACATTCTGTTAATTCTATTGCCATAATTTTGGAAGTTTGAAGTACAGCCTTACGCACTTTCGCCATTTTGAATCAACGTACAAAAGTTTTTTGACATGAAATGTGTAAACTCGGGATATGCGGTCAGGTCAGTCGAATTCAAGTGACTTGATCAGTTCACTTGACTCGTGTAAACGCTCCTTAAATATTGCATGCTGTCATTTTTGTAGTTCGTGAAATCGGAAGTCAAAATCTAACGAATAATAAACTATAATATATAATAATATAATAACGAATGATAAATGAAATCATGATCTGCAAGTGCACCGATTACATGTGTACACAGGCCAGCTTGATTTATGAAGACTGATTTACACGTATCCAGTAGCTGGCGCCAGTTTTACTGGCTTCCGAGCACTATTGTGTAAACCCTTTTACTTGACATTGATTGGCACAGATATTGTTTTAGTTCATATTATTCACAAATATTAATTTTGTTAGAGACAAATGGTTAATCATATATTGTAATATTATGCAACAAATAAACATGCATTTTGTATATTTGTTTTTTACTATTAATTATATCATTATTTATAGTTCCCCAACCTTTTTTTGTTATTTAGATTTTCTCAAGTTTTTAGATTTTTAAGCCTTTATAATGCTGTGTCATTTAATGGTAAACGAACAAAAATATAAATTGTCTGAATTCAAAATATTAATTTATTTGTTATGGTTTAACAAACAGCGAGAAAATGTTTATTTTAAATTTTGAAGAAACCCGATATAATTTGTAGCATGCGACGCTTGCTTTTCCCATCACCACATAAATAAAAGCAAAAATATATTTTATTGATTTTGCAATCCCATTATTACAGATGTCTCTTGTGTTGAAACTTTTTTTTATTATGATAGTAATATTTGTGTAGGTAATCAATATTTTTAATTAAATATAGCAACATATAGTCAATTACATTATACCACAGCCTATTCATTAGACAGCTAGTCGACTTGCTATTTTTTTCCGCTCTTACCTGCCGCGCTTTACATGCAGGCAGTCAGAGCACCGGTCTCGATAGTTTTCATAAACTGAGCTTCAATAGGAGCTCAGAATACACCTTGTTACATGTAAATGATCCTAAGTCGACTGGCTGTCTAATGAATAGACTCTGATTAAACCGTAAGATGCTAAACGTACCACGTATATAATAGGTAGCATGACGCACGACCATAATTTATCGAAGAAAAATAGTGCATAATAACATGTGCATAACACATAATAAAAATATCATAAAAGGTGCCTACATAAACTACAATCGATAATATATTATTATTAGATGGTAAATTAATATCAATCACAACAACTTGCAATAACTATACCTAATAATAAATACTATCGCCTATAGTGTTTTAGCAAATGTTTGAAGCGTTAATTTACAAAAAACGTCTCCATCGAGTGGAATCATTGTTTTGTATCTCGTTTTTCAAGAAATAAAAATTAATATTTAATTTTTAAACAGAAAAAAAACAATAATAATTCGGATAAAGCGGGTTATGTTGCAGTATGATGCATATTGCGGGTTTTGATACAATATGATCAAGAAAAAACGGCATCAGCGATGGCTATGAAATGAAGAACGCTGGCATTTTATATGTAAATTTATATGGGAAATGTCATACACTATTTGCTAAATTTCCCTCCTTAATAAAGTTTACTCCGGCCTAAATAACCATCATTCTACAGCAACAATTTTCTGTGATTTTTCTAAGGCGTTCGATTGTGTAAATCATAAGATCCTAATTAATAAACTGGAGCACTATGGGTTCAGGGGAACATCTCTCGAATGGTTTAAGTCGTATCTGAGCAACAGAAGTCAACTTGTGAGGGTGGATACCACGTTATCTTCTAGCAAGCCAATAGAATGTGGAGTACCACAAGGCTTAGTACTAGGCCCTATTTTGTTTCTTCTTTTTATTAACGACATTGCTAACATAACCATCAGTGGCAAAATATGTCTTTTTGCGGACGACACTAGCTTCACTTGGAGCAAGTCAGTTGAATTCAAGTAACTTGATCAGTTCACTTGACTTGATTCACGTGTAAACACTCCTTAAATATTGCATGTGGTCATTTTTGTAGTTTGTGAAATCGGAAGTCAAAATCTAACGTTGATAAATGAAATCATGATCTGCAAGTGCACCGATTACATGTGCACACAGGCCAGCTTGATTTATGAAGACTGATTTACACGTATCCAGTAGCTGGCGCCAGTTTTACTGGCTTCCGAGCACTATTGTGTAAACCCTTTTACTTGACATTGATTGGCACAGATGGTTTGAGAATTTATTGCCAGGACTTTTTTAAAAAATTTAAAATATTGACTCTTCCTTCCTTATTTATATTTGAATCCGTTTGCCTAATACGTAAGCATGTATCAGCTTCTCAAGAAAGGCCAGGAACGCGGAGCAAGATCTTTATCTACCTACCCCACGCTCAGAGTTAGTTAAAAGTTCAATATTATACAACTCGAAAAAATGCACAATCACCTGCCATTTGAAATCAAATCCATAACATCATTTTCTTCATTTCGCAAAGCATTGAACTCTTATTTACTAGACAAGGCTTTCTACGCTGTAAATGAATTATATTTTGAAAATTGAATTTGATCTTGTAAACACTGGTCTAATGTTTGCTATTGCTATATTTACTAATGACATCGAAATAAATTTATTTAGAGGTCATTGATATTTACTATATAATATAAACTAGCTTAATATTTTTGAATGTTGTTTTTAGTTTTTTGCTCTTTGACATCGTAAACATTTATAAATGTTTATTTTAAACAATAAAACTGACAATATTATTTGTATAATGTTTTGTATTATCTTTTGTTTGTTTGTTTGTGTACCTTGTTTGTTTACTTTGTTTGTTTAGTTTACCTTTGTCTACAAATTGAAAAATTTTTGACAATAAAGGCGTTTATTTATTGCTACTACATCAATCATACACTATTTGCATTCTAACTTGATTTATTAAATATACTATTTTATCAAAATTAAGTAAGGATTTGAAAATATGTCAGTAGTAATATTATACTTGTGTAAAAGGCGGGATATGTAAACAATAATGACAATAAAAAGCATAAAGAAGACTATAAGGCGAATTTTGTTGCAGTAACGTAATTTGTAGTGAATTTTATATAGAAATAAGCGACTTCTACTGCAGTTTGGGATTGTGTTTATGTAGATTTCAGGGTCCCACTATTAATATACAGGTTGTTAATTTGTTTATTACTCACGACAAGTGCTTTATGGTTGAAATATGGCAACCCCGGCCCGCTCGTCGATAGACGACGCGACGCGACGGTACGAGTCAGCAGAAAACCCTATAAGTGCCTGTTCTCAAAAGGCAGTGTTGCCATTCTGTTCCTCTATAAGTAACTGTCCAGTTAACAACCTGTATGTCATTAGCCATTTTTTTAAAAAAATGGATAAGGCGGGTTTTGCAACTTGACGCCTCTACTATAAATTTAGAAAATATATGTAAAAATAATTTATTAATATTAAGAAATAATCAAATTAAATATATTTTTCATTTTTTTAGAGATGGCCTGTTTATGGAGAAGTCAAATAACGTACGTCTTGGTACTATCAACATTTGCGATGTTGATAATAGAAATTAACGGATTATTTCTACCAAAAAGGGTAAGATGAAGTAATGTTACTATTTACTTTTTAATTTTCTTTTTTTCACCTTGTAGATCGCCCCATATAATACGAAAGAAAAAGTCCTCTTAGATCCACAAAAAAGACCGTTCTGCAATGCATTTACAGGTAATATTTTCATTTAAACATATCTCTTTTTATATTACCGTACGATCGAAAAACTCGGCGTGCAGTTAGCCCTGAAATGAACATCGATAACATTTCCCATATAATTTTACATGTAAAATGACACCGATATTTATTTCATAGCCATCACTGACGCAGTTTTTTTTAATCATATTTTATTTCAGAATGACAGTCGGTGTTAGAAAGACATCCGAAAAGAAGCAATTTGTTATATTACTTTCTTTCACTTTATTAAGTGTAATTCTTGAACTGTACTTAACTAGAATTTCTATAATCAACTGCTCCACACAACAATATATCAATGTATTCTTCAAAGAATTTCTATAATCAACTGCTCCACACAACAATATATCAATGTATTCTTCATTCTATTAAAGGTTGTGGGCGAAAACGATCCAACCTTCCTGCCATCACCCCGGAAGGCGACGAAGTGGAGGACTCAATCAACAGCCTGCTGGAATTAAGCGAAGAACCGGCAGTGGAGGACCTCTCTCGGCAGATCATGTCGGAAGCGAAGCTGTGGGAAGCTATCCAGGAAGCCAACTTGGAACTGAACAGACGCAAACAGCAACAGTCCCGGGACAATGCGGAAGATGACGCTCCGATCGCCGCTAGAAGCGCCACGGCCAACTGCGCCCTACCGCCCTGTTATATTTAAAAAATCGATATAATATTTTATGGATTGTGTTAACAGGGAAATCTTCGATAAAGTTGTACGTTATCTAACACTCTTTATTTTTTATTTTACAAGGATAATAATTCAAATATAAATACAATGCAGATTTATTTGTTATTGACAGAATGTAAATATAAACAGTACTTATAGCTAATAAACGTAAGAAGCGATTAAGTAATTTTATTTATATTTCAACAATAATTGTAAGAAGTTAATTAAAATTGTAAAAAATCAAATGACAGTATACCGGGACTTTTTAAAAAGTGGCAGTATGTAAAACAAACGAAATTTGGTATTTTACTATATCATGACATAAATCGATATTGAGTGACGCATTCAATTAATTTCGGTCACCTCCTGTTTCACCGGAAATGATGACAACTTTTGATTTTTTAATTGGTACCCTCTGTATTTTTTTTTACTTTATATGATAGAAAATGACATTCTGAATAGGATGACCTATCATATGTCAACTTTTGACATTTTCAATTAAAAAAAGTGTGTGTGCATTATGTGCGCATATTTGAAATTAAATACTTACTTCCGTCTATCCATCTGTCCGTCCGTCAGTCTGTCCATCTGTCCGTCTGGGGACTCCATTCGGGTACCTCTATCCACGTGTCGAGTTTCCTTCCGATCGACCCATAATTAAGAAAAATCCTGATAATTTCGTCCATTTAGAAGCATCGCACAGTGTGAAATTTTGACGTTCTAGGTGGAATTAATTCGATTTACCAACTTTATCCCAGGTCCTAAGTTATTGTAAAATTTATTCAAGGAATGTCCATTCATCAATAAAAAAACATATGTATATTTTTAAAATCAAGCTTATCATTTAAAAATGCTCATTACTTTTCTTTCTACATCTTTTGGGCAAAACGATAAAATCATCTAAAATATCTAGCCCATTTAGTCAAATTTTGCAGACGTTTGAGTGAGAAAATCATTTTTTAAAAATATTTCTGCCTTATAGTTTGACTGAAAAGAAATGTTAAAGAAGTACCTGCAGTTACCTATGAAAAATTGTAATTTAGCTACTTTAAATATGTTTTTGTTACATAATACCACGCTAACTTTGTCATTTCTTGAAAAGCCACTTATTATAGCATACGACATAAAAAAATTAGCTGCGTTTAGGTGCGCTTTAGCTATACATATATATTTTTTAAGATGGCTGCGCGCTTCACTCGTCAGGATGTATATGAGGTTTGTACTTCTAACACTCCAAAGAAGCGGCGAAGCGCTGTGGTAAATTTTATATTGGAACGCTTTGATTCTATAGTCTGTCCAACGAAAAGATCCTTGACAGTGATAGATGTGTCTGTCATTTTAATTTCAAAGTAGTTTATTTTATTTTACAAAGAAATAAGTTGGTACAACTGGAACGCATAGCAGGAAATTATTATATTTAAAATTTGACTGACAAGTGATTACTTCAAAATATTATGAAAAAAATTGTATAAAACTGAAAAAATGTAATCGAGTTATTTAATTTAATAAAAAACGGTATGTGTTAATACAAAACAAACAAGAACAAGACACCACATACCAAAAAATATAAAAAAGAACTAGGTATTTCTTACTTTCAAGCTTTATGAAACTTCCCGCATTTATGATTATATTTATCAATATAACTTATGTAAAAATACAAATTTGTAATATTCCGCAGGAATAAATAAAACAACATAAATAAAACAAACTATTTTATTATTAATAACACTTACCAAGTTTTATAGGTACCTTAAAGATTTATTAATTAACTTTAATCTTAATTATTTAAACCAGTACCTTTGGCATTATTTTTCTTGTGCAGTACTAAAATCCATTATTTACGTATCGTGTGATGTCGATATTTTACAGCTACTCCAGTTTTTAGTATGTGTTTAGTATGGTCCTTCTACCATATTCAAGATGCACTTATCTACGACGAGATGGTATACGAACTTTAATGATGGTAACTTTATTGGTGTATAAGACTTTTTGCCTGGGCGAGTATTAACCATCAACTGTGCTCTGGGTCTACAGTTAATTTTCACTCGATTTTTCCTCCACTTGACTTCAAAAGACACAAAACACACGTAATAACACGAATCAAAATGCATCATCTTCCAAAACGCAGGGTATTTGACAAAACTGACAAAAGTTGACACAAAATTATAACCTCTAATTTGGCAAGACTTTGACAAGCGTCAAAAATCTAAAGGCGAGTTCATACGCATCGGCGTCCGTTTGTCGTTCATCGTTCCGTCAAACCAATAAAATTGAAATACGATCTGTCATTTTTGAAATAAACCAATAAAACTGGTTAAAAATAACAAGAGACGACGCATGACGGATTTATATTTAAACCCATCCATAGTTAACTTAAAAATTATTAGAAACTTTTTATAGTAAAATAAATAGATTGGTATAGGACGCCATCTGCTTTTCTTCTGTCATCGTCTGTCGAAATCTTACCTGAGAAAAAAAAAACAGGGAATCTTTCAAGAGCTGTCAAAGAAAATATAAGAGTTTCGGCCAAGAGGTTTTGTCAGAAAATCGAGAACAAATGGAAAAAGGCAAATAGGCATAAACATATCTTCTTATCTAAAAATTCTAATTGGTTAAGGGGAGATTTTCGATTATCTGTATTAGCAAGAGTACCAAAATGAAAGAAAAACCTCAAATAGAGTCTCTTTGTGCGGTAAGATTCGCCGAGAAATCAACAATTGATTATTTTATTTTCTCTGATTGTATGATTTTCTCCTATTTAGATAGTTTTTCCAAATCGGTTTGACCCACAAAAATTTTATAGTGTATTTTGCTTGTATATAGTACTTTCTTATTTGCCTTTCTTATAGATTATGTATTTTGGTTCGGCAACGCCACATTTTGTAGAATTTTAGACACTCCGTATATTAAACTCCGTAGTTACTAACCTCAAAATCATTCTCTAATCAACAAAATTTTTTATTAAAAATAACATTTTATGAATCACTGATAATATAGTAAAAAAGTTTCCCATATGTACCAAACATTATGAGAGACCCTGTATATGCCCTACTACGATTATTTTGGTGCATGATCTACCATACCTTGATAAAATTTCTTATATAAAAACGAAAAAGACTAATATTTCATTAAAAGAGTCGTTGAACTATTTTTTTTTCCAGCTACAACCCGTAAATTTCACACTGGGCATCGCATCGGTTCGAAACGTCAACGGCGTCATTCTGTAGCCCATCCCAAATTATGCCGAAATTGTCCCACATTTTTCTTCAATATCAAATCGTTAGTCCCACCCTGATGAAGATGTAAACGAAACGTCGTATCCAACTTCGCAAGATTGGACCGTGTGGCACCATCCTTCAGTTTGGTCGCCTCCAAATTTGGTCGCGATGGAACGACATCAACTTTTAACATTTCTTACGTCAAAACTAACTATCATAGTGACTCGTGTCGTACATGGCCAAGTTGGCATTGGTGCAATCTATTGAAATGCCAAATTTTATTTAAATCGGACGATTTTTTGATTTTATTCATTGATGATGGGGTTTCGTAGTGCACGAAACGTCGTCAAAATATCATGAAAAGATGGGGCTCTTCGACCTTCGTCTATTTTCCGAGTTTCAGCCCCCTAGTTCACATAGGGCCCGAGTTACGCCGTTCCAAGATACGCTCCAAAAACCCATTCAATCGGACGATTTTTTCGCCATTGATGATGTGGTTTCCTAGTGCACGAAACGTCGTCAAAATGTCATAAATATGGGGCTCTTCGACCTTCGTTTACATACCGAGTATCAGCTCCGTAGCTCACAAAGATCGACACCATTTTTGTGACGCTTGGTGGCCTTAGCGTGACGCGTAACGATAGCTGGTGTGCAGCAGCCTTGAATTTTTACTCCCATCGCTCATAAAGAAGTTTCAGTTCAAAAAATAGTTAAACATGTTAAAACTATTATTGTTCAATCAAAAAGTTATGGAAAATAGATTTGATCGTCCAATGTTTTTTGTGTCTTTTTCTGGCAGGTTAAAAAATGTCCAAATCGTATTTTTAATGATACTTCAATTTTTTCAAATGGAACGAGAGTGGCTCATTGTCATATTTGGAAAAAGTAATTTGATACCACACACTTGGTAGTTCGAGTCAAATTGTCGTTACATTTATGGCCATGGCATTCTAGATTGAAATTTTTAATTAAAAAAAAACGCCTTTTTTAATTAAAAATGGCAAAAGTTGATATGTCATTCTATTCAGAATCTCATTTTCTATGAAATGAAGTAAAAAATATCGAGAGTAACATTTAAAAATCAAAAGTTGTAGTCATTTCCGGTGAAACTAGAAGTAAACGAAACTAATTGAATACGTCAATCAATCCTCATTTATGTCATATACTAACATACCAAATATCGTTTTGTTTATCCGGAAAAAGGAAAAAAAAGTTATAGAGATACGCCATTTTTTCAAAACAGCCGGTATATACTTTTTCCCGGTATTCTTTAATCTTTCCGGAATAATTTAATTCCGGTATTCTACAGGGTGTTTCAAAAAACATGTGCCATCTCTCGTGGAGAGATTCCGCACGTCAAAATAAGATATATTTTTCATATTAACTTACGTCCAATTCTGCTTTGTTTCGTAGCTATAGGGTGTTAAAGTATTAATATTTTTTTGATTTATTATAATTTTAAAGTACTGTTAGCGTTTCGAATTAAATATTGAGGGTAAAAGTTACTTATAAATGCGATATGTTTTAATGCTAAAAAAATGTCGATATATTCAACAGAGACGTTTGAAACATTCTGTTTAACATAAATCAACATCGTTTTTATCCAGCTTTATTTTGTTAAACACTTTCTGTATCCAAAATCGAGATGTATGAATAATTTTTGATTTTTTGAAATTAAAAAAATTATTTGTCTTTCCCTATTTTAACTAATAGCCGTGAGAAATGTCATTAAAAGTTCGACAATGAAAAAGTAAGATTAAGTTGAACATACCTTGGTGGATTACGATTCAATCAGCAAAATAAATACGACGTATTGTGCTGGTAAAGCTGAAAATAATTATTACAAAACAGAAAATTAATGTACAATTGATTTCTATTATAAAAATTACTGATTAAAACATGAAATTGACAGGCAAAAGTTACTCTCATTTATGCCATAAAATACAGGATGT